GATATGTGTTCCCCCACCTGGGAAACGCATATCCCTAGTGATATGTGTTTTCTCACCTAGGAAATTGGAACCTCCACTAGTGGCCACCTCTTCACAACGGCCACTTTTTTTTGTCGTTGTGGACAGTCCATAGATTGACTCTTTTTTAAACCTTTCTACAACTGCCACCTCTGTACAACGGTAACGGCCACTAAAGGGTGCCCCAAACTGCCAAAATAACCTCTCCACAACGGTCACTTTTTTAGCGACAGTTGAAAAAGACAGGAATGGACAGGAAATGTGATCCATAAGGTGCAGTGATGATTAATCGCGGTATCGTATTTTGATTGTGTTCCATTTATACTGTTGCATCAAGCATATACATTTTGATTCAAAGTGTTATTCAATTTTTTGTTTTTTTTCTCTTTGTATATTATTTGTGATTAGTATAACATTATGGGATACAGTAAGCAAGAAGGAAGCACAATAAACAGGTTGTACTCCCTAAAAAGAATTTATTATATGACACCCTAACCTCCCCATAACAGCCACTTTCTTATGCCCCCAAGGTGGCTGTTGTGGAGAGGTTTGACTGTTTAACGTGTAACTTTGCCAAAATAAACCAACAATCATATTTTCTACTTTTGTCAACCATACAAACAATATATATATTCTTGGTTTTCAACCACGTGACAAGGCGGCCATGTTGGGGGTCAAAACAAAAGAATATTTCCTCAAAGAATTTACATGAAAATAGAGTTTAGTTCCCAGAGGAGAGAAATGCTTTTGTTCTTGACCACCAACATGGCCGCCGTGACGTCACGTGCAAACCAGCAAGACAAAACAAAAAACAAATAATATGAATTGAAATCCACTAAGATACAAACAACAAACCTGACCCTTTGTATCCAAAGAATAAAATCGTGAGGTCCGCTAGGGTGATTGATAGAAGCGAGGGTAATGGATATTAAGGGTATATACGATAGTGGCCTAAACAAACTCACCAAGATCAGATGGTTTAAGAAGGCTTATAGCGAAAGTATCAACAGCGACATCTTGAACAGCAGAAGTCAAATTCATCAAGAATACGCAGATAAGAAGAAAAATTATATTTCCAAATCCCACAATGGCCGATGTGAAGCATAGAATTGCCATAGCCATCGAGCCAAACAAAATCCATAAATCTAGAGACCAAAAATTGTCGACGAAAGGCGCTACGGTGAATTTGAAAATCCAAGGGAGACTTAAAAGCCGACTAAAACCTACTCTTGACAAGGAGAAACTTTGCTTTCGAAGAAGCAATGGCAGTAGTTTCACTTGAAAGCCATAAGGCAAACCTTGACCAAAATAAAGAAGAAACAGAAGCACGCTTGCTTCCGCCATCTTGGAGAATCCAGTAATCACGAGAATGCATTGTAACCAGGCCATGATGATTGCGTGAGGGAAACAAAATGGGTACAATTTGGTTAGGGACGTATTCCGGAAAAAGAAATTTCTTGTGCCGTGCTTTTTGATAAAAAGGAAATCAACAAGATATCTTATTTTAAGCAGACTTTTAGTTATTGCAAAGCAATGAACGCTATAATCAGTGATTTCAAGAGTTTATCCAATCCATTCTTATTCCTGAATACGGTAAATCGAACACGCCCTTAGCGTTTTAGCTTCGTTTTGTAAATTGTCTACAGTGACTCTGATAAATCGTTAGCACTCGGAGAGTCCAATCTTGTCTTGAAGAGGTACCCGGAAGGGGAGGGGCTCTCTGTAAAGTTTAATACCGGGAGCCTCCTTTCCGAGGTCCAACCCCTTACCCTGTTATTTGACAGAGAAGGTAGACCTTTCCCGTTCAGTTGACAAATGCGTTAAGTAGCACCCCTTTCGCATATCTTTAAAAGATTTAAGGTGCTACAACAACTCGCACGCTGGCCTGCGTTACGTGAAAGACCCTGAAACATTTGGGGACGCTTTTCATGTGATTTTCTCGGGTTGCAGAAAGTGTTTCACAAACATCCAAAAGTGTCCCGAATAGTCCCCTTCTAATATTTTCGGGAGACGTTTTGCGGGGTAAGGGTACGGGATTATTTAGATTTGGAGCTGTGAGTGTGCTAAACAAACGTCTTTTTCCTTCTTCTTATTTTAGTTTCGTTCTGTCATTAAGAGAAGATAAAAAAACTAAATCAGAAATTAAGAAGAAAACAATACATTTTTTTACGCTTTACGAGCAGGTGGGAAATATGAACATATACCGCAAAACATCTTAAGACATAACTCTTGGACTACAGCAATGGCATATGCAGTTCATTTACAAACTGATCTTATAAGTTAATTCAGTATGCTCAAGCATTGTAGAAAATCTAATCACATACAAGGATTATAATTTATTTTAACTAAAGGTTTGAACATGGGTAATGAGCAGAAACATATTTAACCTTTATGCTTCTGCCGCTTTTCAATCTAACATTTGATTTGCTATCACTACGAGACTTTTCTATGATCTACAAGTCTAGTTATCATTATCGCAGGGTCCGAAATTAACTTTTTAATATGGGCGCCAACTGGTGAGCAAGTATAAATTTTTGGTCGCCAGGGGGCAAATTATGGTCGCCAAAAATTCCCCTTGGCGGCTTGGAAACATTCAACTCATATTGATGGTAGCTGTTGTGGAGGTATATTTACAGGAAGATTCATTTCACTTTTAAATTAAAAAAATATCCGCAGGACGAAAAGTAAGACACCTGTTGGCAAATAGCTTCGAGGTTTCAATTCTTAATCATTTTCTCCGAACGTGAAAGTCTACAATGACAACCAGCTTTACGAGGTCGCCAGCTGGCGACCAACTATGAAATTCTGGTCGCCAGAACTGAATTTTTGGTCGCATTGGCGACCAGGAAGGCGCAATTTCGGACCCTGTATCGCCAATAATCTGTTCTGGTCATAACACCGGGCGAGTTTTCACTCTTCTATTTTATGGTACATAAGTGTTACAAAGCGAAATAAATAAATAGAAATATTAAAAAAAACTTTACAATAACTCTTTCATTAATTGTTGTGGAATATATTATTAATTTAATTACTGCACTCAAAAAGGGTCAAAGCCAAAGTACCTAGCCATAATGTAAATTTTTGATACCTCCAGAAAATTATGCATCTGAGCTTATAAACGAGTCATGGAAATAATTATTATTATACATCAACTTAAACAGCCACTTGCACCAGATTATGCAAAAAGGCTTGAAGGCCAGATAATGTTTTCTAGTGCCGGTGGTATTCTTTTTGGTGCCCGTTTGAGAACACATCTGAAGCTTTATGTATATACAGATTTAGTTGCTGGGTTATTCTCAAGAAAATGTATATCAAGTCCTTTCTAAAGTGATTGATGCAGGATGTTTTTTGAGAAAACTCCTGTTATAGGTTGTGCCTTCTTCCCAATTCAAAAGTTTGAAAAAGATCAAATTTTGTCACAATTTAAGTAGAGACAGAGAAATCTTGTTAATCATGTCCAGGGGTTTGTGTCATCACCCGGCACTACGCTCCTCCCAACAAAGGAAAGTGGGGAGGAGCATTGCATGCCCATACAAACAACAGCCAGGAGGGAGGCAAGTCAGGAGCGACCTACATGTACTAAGGTCTCTGCTATCCGTTGCCAGTGAGTGAAGAGAAAAATGGAAAAGAAATAATTACCAGCAATAATTATAATAATTAATAATTTAATGTATATATTGCGCAAAATGCATGTAAATATGATCAAATGCGCAAACAGCTAACCTGGGACCAGGCTCTGTATTGTGGGAAAAGGAAAGAAAAATGGCGTCGAAGCCCTTTCCCCTCCCCAGAACACCAGTGGGCTGGCTTCGCTTGCCGATGTTTTTCCTTTTTGACCTTGCTTTTTGCCTTTTTCCACCACTGTGGAGCCTGGTCCAAAGCTAGCAAACAGCTAAATAGTATGTCGCCCTAGTTTGTAGGGCTTCAGGGCCATTCTGTTCAGCCACTATAGTGCACTGGCAAGAAATGTCTCAAGACTTGTTTTACTGCAGGTGTTATTTGCAGAAGCAACATTTTTGTTCAGACATGTCCTCAATGCCACTTCCAAATACAGTGACGATTTGTCTATGAACCCTGAAAACAAATGAAAATAAAATATCTTCAGCATCAAATGTATGGCATGTAATTAATGTCATTAAGTAAACAAACAATGAGGCTTATCATTAAAATGCATATTCTCAGTACCTCGTCAAAGTTCAAAATCTTAATTTATATATCTTATGCAACTTCATGAAAAATTGGATGAAAAAAAATTAACCTGGAAAAGCAGTGCAAGACAGTTGGTATTTCAGGGACGGAATGGGACTATCTATCAAGAGTAAGTACATGTAAGACACAACAACTATAGTTGTTAGTTAAGCTTGTATAAACATAGCACACCACAGAATAACCTAAGTAGCTCGCAATGAATGCAACTGTTCAACGTAGTTCCCAGGGTTCTCTCCTACAAGTAGGAGAGAACCCTGGGAACGAGGTTGGCACATATTTTCACCTAGCCTCCCACGCAGGCGTTTTTGGGGGAGCTTGTTTGTCATCCCTCCCCACAAATGCCTGCTCAACCAAAAACAACATTCCTTTCCCAAGCTTAGCCAATCTCATTGTACTTTCCAAATTCTGGAAGGTTGACCTTGACCGCGAGGTAATCTGATAATTACTCGATCTGCATGAAACACTGGGAAAGCTTTCTGACATCTAACAAATGTTAAATATTTTAGTCAAATTTTAGAACACTCCATGCACTGCATAACCTTAGCAAAGGAAAGAAAAGAAGGAAAATGGTAACTCTAGGGTCACGCTTTAGTCGCGTTCAGCCTGTCAACACTTTATTGCACAACTGTTGATAAATCACTTACCACACAAATAAAACAATGGGAAAAGGAACGTTGTTTTAGGTTGAGCAGGTGTTTGTGGGGAGGGATGAAAAACACACTCCCCGAAAAGCACCTGCGTGGGAGGCTAGTTTTCAACCTGTACTGACCTGAGTGATAAAGACGGCTGCCTAAGCAGTTCTCCATCCACATTCCATATACCAACTGATCTGTCCTTAGGATTGCGACTTACTCTGTAACTATCCAACAAAGGGCCATCCGCACCTTGCACAGGGACACCAGACTTGTCTTGTGCTTGCACATAACACTCCTTAACGCGATGGCATTCAACAAAGTCAAATGCAAACTGAGGATAGACAACACATGAAGGTATAAAAACTTGGATTATACAAAATCACTAGCTGTAGCTGCACAGATTGAACACATCACACCTTTCCTCGTATTTTTTCCCCTCAGTGCTAAGTGCTGAATTGCAGAAATGTATAGCTACTCTATGCACCTGTGACTATGAAGGGAAGGAGGGAGGGAGGAAGAGACAAACTGGCATATTTCATTCTGACCTGATCTTTAGAGTTAAAGTTGCGCTGTATGTGAGAATTCATCTGAAGTCTTGAGCAGCGTTTAATAATGACAAGGTCAGAGAAGCCATCACCCAGATGACAGCTTGGAGAGGTGCCTTCAGGTGCTATCTCACACAAATTAGGAAGAGTATAGAAACTGACTCCAATGACAGGTCCCTGAAATGTTATCCCATCTACAAAGAAAAAGTCAAAAAAAAAAAAAGAAGTAAAGTGAATTAATTTTCTTTCCTTGCTAACATCATCGTCATCATCATCATCATCATCATAATAGTAATAGTAATAACAATAATAGTGATAAAATAATAATAATAATACTAAATCTGGGGAAAAGACTATTGGTGGATTCTTTGGTGGATTCTTTGGATCTTATCTTTGACTAAAACCAGCAATTTTTTTAATTCAACGATCGAGTTTGCAGGTTTTGCTCCATCTGTAAAGCCACAACGCAAACAGGATATACATAGTTCTAGATGACTTTGAGATTGAGAGCCACTCATACCTTGGTACTGGCTACTTTCACAGTTGTCCTCTTTACTACAAACACCACACCTTGTTAAAAAAACAAACAAACAAACAGACAAACCTGTTAGACTTAGTACTGACTAGGATACACTGTAATAAGAAATGGAAGAGACTGATTTGCCTTTTGAAGGCAAGAAAACAATACCCTGCGTCTTAGCTGGCGGAATGGTTTAGCATGAGGTACTTTCTTTATTCACGGGTTCTTTCTTGGCGGCAGAGCTTCAAGGGATTTGCTCCCAAACTTCTCACGGCTCCACCACCAAAAAACAAGCGACATAACTTGCCGCTTATCCTGCCAGCTATGCAGGCTAGAAAAAGGCCTAAAAGTGACTCTCTGATAAACAAAACTAATTATTTCCCTTGGAACCTGATATTAAGTGTTTATTATTTATTTATACAACTCACCCTATTCTGCATCTAGTGTGATCTCTGGGGTGATGTTCAGGATGCGGACTTGGTAGAAAACTCAAATCAACATTGTATGATCTACATGACGAAAACAAGTACAATAAAACACACTTCACGCATATAAGTAACCAGTACCCATTCACCAACTAAACAGGGCACCCAATGACCTGTGGTAATCCTGTGATGGACCAATATCTCATTTAGGCGGGGCAAATGGCAACATCCTATTTAGCAATATTCCTTCTCCTAGGTACCTTATGTTACAGAAAGCAGAGATGAACCCTCTTTCATTAATCTACATGAAGCGTGTAAAGAAAGTCGTGTCTGATAGCCCGGGGCTAGTGGATTTTGCTATCAGGCTAGTGATTTTTGTTCTTAACTTGCACGATGGGCAAGTGCTGTTTTTTGGGGGAAATTCAATTTACAGAAGGATTGTAATCAATCCCGCTAATCAAAAAGGGTTTTGGGGCTGGTTGAAATGACTTGTGGGCTAGTACATGTTCGCTACAGCTTGCCTGAGGGCAAAACTGACTTTCTTTGCACCCTACTGGGCTATAACTTTTTATTTATAAGGTTGTACATTTTGTTTTTTTTGTTATTGTACCTTAATCTCCAGAGTCTTCGGGCTGCACCCCACTTGTAACGCTTGGGGCCCATCCAGCGATGTTGCTCACTAGTTTTGAGAACATCTCCCAAGAATCCGTAGGAAAGGGAAAATGCAAATCGGATGTGTTTGTCGTCATTCCACAAAGAGCAGATATCGAGTGGAATAGTGCAGCCTTAAACAAAAATGAGTAAGAATTGAATACTGAAGTTGCAGTACTAGAACACTTCCTCTATCTAGGTCATTTGGGGGCTTCTTGAGTGATTCTGAATTGGGGGCTTTATTTTCTAAAAGGAGAGTCTTATTTAATCAGGGGAAGGGGGGAGAATGAATGGATTGTCACATCACTGTTCCATTTTACTTAGCCATACTTTAGGTACCATATTCCATCTGTTCAGGTAGAGAGTATGGCACCAAGAAAAGTGAGCAAGAAAAAACAGAGAGGGAATATCTGAATGCCTGAAACAGGCCACCCATCAAGTATCTCAACATCTCTATATCAAAATCATTTACACTTGGGTGGAGGCTAAATAGACACTGGACATTTTTTACATTTGGTGGATAAAACAAGAGACTAATGAGAAGAGGGGAGAGAGGTTTTTGCAAGGCTAGGAGCTTAAAATTGGACATCATTTTTAAAATTAAAGGCTAAATCGCAAAATAATGGCCAAGGGTCCATTCTCTAAGGATCGCTGATCTAAATATGGAAGTCATAACTGAACACTCACCAAAAATAATGTGCATAGCAGAGGTTACAGGGTCATTGATTCCTTGAGCAGAATAAACTATCACCTCTGTTGAGCCTTGGAAATAAACAAAATATTCATGGCTCCGCTTGTCTGGCTAATAAAGCATTATTCTACCTGCCGTTGGATATGATGACCAGATAGATCAAATATCTAAGGTCATACTTAATATTTTGTTGCTGAAAATTTCATAGTTATTAATGATTTCATTAGCTAAAAGATATTAAAATTCAACCATGTATGTCCAACAACATTTGTGGTTTGGCTGATCTAGAATCACGACCTGATCAGACATACACCACATACGGTACATATGAAAGTCCTTTCTAAAAGGAAAAAATTAATTTGTAAAACCAGTTTTGTTACTTGAAAATCTTTTAATGAGCTAACGGTGAAAGGCAAAAGAAGTTTAATGACATACCAGCAGGAATGATGCCAATGGGTACATTAAGAGGAAGAACTGTGAATTTCTCAGGTAAAATGCCATCCACCAGATCTATTCCAACATTCATGTGGGACTTCTCTAATAACCCATTCACTACTTCATGGACAATGCCATCACCTCCAACAACCACAACCCTAAAAACATAACAACCTGCATGTGAAAACGATGCTTAGCTACTGTCAACTACTGCCTTTAAGTCCTGGACTTATGTTAATCTTTTCAAGGAGTTTAAGGAGGGCTTTTAAACATCTATAAATCAGGGATGTCACTAAGATTTCAAGTTGCCAGGAAAATACAAAAAGTACACAGGGAATCAGACAGCTAGGGATTTCTTTTGGTTCTATTTTTCCTCTGTCTTCCTATGAAAGAAGCTGGGGCCACATTATAGTAGCCAGGGAAATGGGGTGGGGGTTATATCTGAGGGGGATTGTAACCAGAATAGGAAAGCTCTTCCAAACAAGCTATTAATAGCAGCCGTGCTGAACAAAATACCTTTTAAACCTGATCAAAATAAGTAATACAGAAATTATAATTATTGCATTATCCACTGGATGGTGCTCTTTCCAGTCAATAGCACTATCCACCTTCTAAACAAGATTACAAGGGCCTGAAGGAATTTTCACAGCGTCCTTTGAGTATTACCAGGGCAAAGCAAGGACAAAGGAAATTCTGAATCAAACTCTAGTAAGTTGTATACTGGGTTAACCAGAGGGATCAATTTAGGCTTCTGAGAAACTGCCCACCTACCCCTTCCCGAAGCCAACAGCAACACTTACTTCTCACTTAGGGCAAAATGTCAGCTTAGGGGAGGGGTAGGTAGGCAGTTACCCCAGATCCAACTAGTAAAGAGATTTACCTAACACATGAAATAATTATGCTCAGAGCCTTTTTAATTGCACCTTGTGAATGTTGCTTTCTCTAATGTTTATGTTTTTGATTCAATGAATTAGCAGCAACTGAGTGAGGTTTTTAGTTTAAAATTTGAAGGGTTTCAAATTGAAAAAGAACTTTAGATTTTGCTAGATTATCTACCACTCTAATTTTAAGAGACCGAACACTTTTTTTAAATAAGATGCACAGAATGGTTCAACGTTATCAAATCTGATTATCCTTACCCATCATATGTGGAAATATCAGCTGTTCTAAAGTACTCCCAAGCATGGCCTGCTCTTTGTGTCACTATAGAGTTTATAGTCAAGTACATGCATCATAAGTTAAAAGTTTAAAGATTTTTCATAAATTCAATCACTTGTACAGCTACATTTTCAGTTGTCAGTAATTGAACCTGTAAACAGTTGTTATATTTTAATAGATATTGAAGGGATTAAAGTGTTAAGATTTAAGTAGAACTATGGTACAATAAATTATTAATTTTCTTTGTGGAGCTAATTTAAAATTACCATCATGAACAGTTTTTTTTTTCTTAATGCATGATGTGAAATCATGGATGACACAAAGCAGTGTTTAAAACATTGAAATTACTCTCTCTTAATAAGAGCGCATTAATGAGCAGACAAACCGTTTACATTTAACTTAAGAAGGTACATTAACTTTATTTATACACAACAATGTTATTTATTTATTCATTTATTTTATAATAAATATTTTATCTTATTTGCAATCTCAGTACCACAGACAAGGAAGTAATATTATCAACAGTTTGGAACAAAAGCAGTGGAATATTGTATTGAGCTAGCTTTAAACAATGTTATATCTGGGTGTGAGGGGGAGGGGGGACTCCACATACATTCATTATGTAGCTACCGGACTAATTAAAGTTCAGGGATTTTCCAATCAAGCTCTAGCCTACAGCGCAATGCAGGTAGTCACATTTTAGGTATGAGAAACACTCACGATCAATCTTTCCTGTTTGGGGTCACCAAAAAGTAAAGACCTTGAGAAGACTGGTGAAAGCAGAAAAGACGGTTGATAGGGAGAGCATCAGGTGAAATGACAAAGTAGGGGGTTAGGGAGGGTTAGGGAAGAAAAAATGGTTTTCTCGCCTGCCTCCCCTGCCCCCTTCCCTGACTCCTGTGACTGGTGCATGACATTCTGAGGAAATTGCAAGTGCATTCCCCCAGAAAAAAAAAACCCTTTCATGGTAGACTACGCCTGCTCTTGAAGGTTTCTAAATGATCAACGCCTCTCTGCTTTTAACTTACTCATAATGTCTGCCTTGATGCCAGCTCTTTCAAATAAAGGTGCAACTTGTTTTAAGTACACCAGACGGGCTTTGCCTTTTCTACTTCTTGGGTTGATCACNTGTTATTTATTTATTCATTTATTTTATAATAAATATTTTATCTTATCTGCAATCTCAGTACCACAGACAAGGAAGTAATATTATCAACAGTTTGGAACAAAAGCAGTGGAATATTGTATTGAGCTAGCTTTAAACAATGTTATATCTGGGTGTGAGGGGGAGGGGGGACTCCACATACATTCATTATGTAGCTACCGGACTAATTAAAGTTCAGGGATTTTCCAATCAAGCTCTAGCCTACAGCGCAATGCAGGTAGTCACATTTTAGGTATGAGAAACACTCACGATCAATCTTTCCTGTTTGGGGTCACCAAAAAGTAAAGACCTTGAGAAGACTGGTGAAAGCAGAAAAGACGGTTGATAGGGAGAGCATCAGGTGAAATGACAAAGTAGGGGGGTAGGGAGGGTTAGGGAAGAAAAAATGGTTTTCTCGCCTGCCTCCCCTGCCCCCTTCCCTGACTCCTGTGACTGGTGCATGACATTCTGAGGAAATTGCAAGTGCATTCCCCAAGAAAAAAAAAACCCTTTCATGGTAGACTACGCCTGCTCTTGAAGGTTTCTAAAATAATGATCAACGCCTCTCTGCTTTTAACTTACTCATAATGTCTGCCTTGATGCCAGCTCTTTCAAATAAAGGTGCAACTTGTTTTAAGTACACCAGACGGGCTTTGCCTTTTCTACTTCTTGGGTTGATCACAACTTTCAATTTACGAGGTCTGGTGCGAAAACCTGATGAGAACAGTCATATGAGAATAACAAGGTTAACATTGATTGATACTAGGTTTCTCGTTCCACCCCAGGAGATACGCAGTCAAATAGTATTAAGGCTTGGGTGGACATAAATAATGATGAATTTTGAACGGGATCTGCACTATGCACTCCAGGGTTCCAAGTGGTTTATGAATCAATTACTTATAACTTCTTTAGAACAGCTGTACTGCAGCTCATTCTGGCCAACCAAATTTTAGCAAAAGGTCAACAATTGTGTACTAACTTCGTATAATATCATTAATTCTCCCAATCCAAGCCTCGCAAACACTTTCATCTTCACACTCAAAAGTTACTCTTTCTTCTTTCAGCTTCCTGCCTCCAGCTTTGTCAAAAGTAAAGAGAGTGAAACCAACAAGCTGTCCAGTATTAGATTGGTTCTTGGGTAAGCGCCGTTTTGCTATCCATGCTCCAATTACATGATCTGCAAACCTCAACGATCTTGTGGAGATGTTGCAGACTTGGGTTTCTATTATTGGAGAGAGGCAGGAAAGAAAAAAATGCTCATAAAAGGTAGCCTGTGCCAGGCTTTTAGTCGGTGCAGGTGAGAGAAAAATGCAAGTGAGCAGTGAAATAACCAACAAGTGAAACACGACAGGGAGTCAGCCTGTAAGCATCTTTTTAAATACCTCAATCCGCCTACTATCCTGCCCACTTCCTCAAAAACTGTTTCTTGTGTCACATGCATATGAGGCACATACTCGAAATGTTTGTTACACTCCGCTGGGCAAAGCCAAATGATTGGCATATGTGTTGAAGAAAACTGTCACAACTGACCAATCATGGGGCTTACCAGGAGCTGGTATACTTCAATGAGGTATTGAAAACAATGCTTGCAGGCTCCACTACACCGTTTCTCCCCAGCTTCCTCACGGTTTTGTACAACGGTTACCTTTCTTTATCTACTTTCTCCACTATCTTGGAGCCTGAAAAAGGCTGGATGGAGAATACAAAAGCATTTTGAATTCTTGACAGAAAAATTATGATGCACTCCATCTGTTTCAGCTGTTGTGCATGACCAAGGAAAAGTGTACATCAAAATATTGACAATGCCACAATACATTTTTATTGAACGAAACAAGATTTTACGATTAAACTGAGGTATTAATTTGCTGTTTCATGAACCATGTGAAGATCAATAGGTCTGAAATGGTCTAGTTGATCAACTGTTAGTTGACAGTTTCAATATCAAATTTTTCCCTTCACCATCTTCTTCCTCATATTTTGCATTTAAGATCATGCAATGTTAATTCAAAGAATTGCTTCACAACCACAATATGAAAATATCAACAGTGCCTAACAAGACAAATTTGTCCCTTTAAATTCTTCAGGTGGGGACGAACAAAGACAAGTAAATTTTCCTCTTTTGACATCAGGGTCACGTCACGTTCCAGTACACATCCTCCTTAACTTGCGTAATTCTTTATATCATACTCAGCCTCATCCAATAATACTTGGCCCTTGCATATTTACAAAAAATAAACGGCCTGAATTAGGGCTGAAATATTATTCGTGTACTGAGCAGAATTCAGTGGCCCAAGCATATTTTTCAAGCAAAATACGCGACCTGTACCAGCATTGCTGCAAGGCAGAACAAGTCACTATATATTCAAGCAGAATTTATCTATATGTAAGCCTAGTCTGAGGGAAAATGTTCCAATAAAATTTATTATTTGGTGTCATATAAACTTAAGATGGCTTTTAGGCAAGTACAGTGTAGACTGATTTTAGTTTTTTTGGAAGAACTGAATCTCAAGAATTTCAGTCTTATTTTAGTGCATGGTTTCAGCTGAGTTTCGCCCTAGCTAGAAGTACACCGTGTGTTCTTCATGGAAATAAACAGAGTAGATAAAATGAACTTACTATACAGAAAGCAAATGAAATTTAAGCTTACAAGTATAACGTGTTTACGTTGAATAATTGAACCAACCTGATGTAAATAAATTTTGTGTTTTCGAACGCACAATGATGTAAAAATAGAGTTGCATGTAAATATCCCTGTCCATTAAACAGTATTGTAAATGTACGAATATTTATTCTAATAAATTGCACTAAAGCTTATAACAAACCGGTACTAGTGACTCTTAAGCTAAATTAAGCTTTCGATTTCGTTAAGTTAAAGTTTAGTTTGTCCATCAGAATTATAGCTAGCGTTCTAATCTTTCTGCTGATACATAAGCCAGTCTGTTTACATTGATGAAACAGTACCTGTATTCAATGCGCCTTGTAAAGTCCACACAATTTCTTCTCCGTCAAGAAATACATCATAAAATTTGCCCCGCACTTTGAAAACAGCTTTCAGCGTTGTACTTTCGACGTTATCGTCCGTCATTTTCGAAGAGAGTGAAGCATTTCTCGTTGTTTGAAAACGTCAATTTTTTTCTAATTTGCATGTGCGGCTTTCCGTTGGACATCTGCTCATCGTATAGCGAACGGTAATGAAATCATTTGCAAATCAGATGTTTGATCGTACTGGTCAAAACAACTTCAACTTGACCTTGTTGCAGTATGGGATGTTTTCATACAGATATGGGTGGGAGGGGTGGGTAACGAGCAACGATAAAGGACAAGTTTACGACTCTACTGTGGCCTCTGGAAACGTGTTGAATTGTTTACTCAATGGTTGATGTTATCATTTCGCAGTAAATCACTGAGTGGCCCACATCATCGTTGTTATGCTTCGTTCAGCTTTCCGTGGAAAGCAACCAGCTGATTCAACGGTAAAGGAGGAAAAACACGCGTCTAGCGAGCATGGAAAATCTCATTTCTTCTTTCACCACGATCATCATCATGAAGAACAAGATCGCAAAGATCAGATAACAAATATAAACGATGATGCGATTCGTTATAATGCAAGTGATGGTGAATTATACATAGATTGCAATCAGGAATTCTTATCCCTGGAGGAAAGTAGTAGTTCGGAGAGGGAGAGCAGAAATGAAGCAAATGGGAGCAGGGGAAAAACTACTTCAGACGAAAGCTTCCCAGCTAGTAGTGGACCCATTCCCAAGAACGTCGGAGGAGCTGGCACTAACGATCGCCGTGAGGGAAGCTTTTCTAACTCTGAGAGGCAGATTTATGAAATGCAGTTAGCTCAGCTTCAGGAGCAGCTAGTTAACACCATGATTGATCATCAGGAATTGAGTAAGTAACAGCAATCTTATGAAGCAATCACAATGCTAAAGCTCCATTTCAATATCCGGAATTTTGGATTTAATAGGGAACTTTTAACGAGAAGAAGGGAAACAGATCATGGGAAACTGAGCTTTAATTAAAGTTTTCAGTTTCTGGTTTAGTTTGTTTACGAATATGAAAGATGTGAGTTAATATTTTTCCTTGCTGATATTGATGTAAAATGGATTCGGCAGGACCCCCAGGTGGGGCTATGGAAAGGGGCAGGGGGTGGGGGTTAGGGACACTGAGCAGTTTGTTGAGGCTTTCAAACCCTGACGCTGTTCAAAACAAACCTGGTACATTTTGTTACCCCATTTTTAAAAGACATCAAAGGACAATTTTCATAACACCATTTCATTTTACTTTAAGAATTTATTAAGTAAACTAGCATGACAGAATAAGATTTTTTGGAAAAGAAACTCTTCTTAGTACCACAAATGAAGATTGTGCAACATACTACCAAGATTCATCACTCGTTCAGGAAGCTAAAGAATGAAATTATGTACCCTGTTTAGACTCAAGACTGTAAAAACCATACCTTGTTCATTGGCACACACCCATTAAGGTTCAATAAGAGAGTGTGCTAATTTTCCCACCCACTCACCCACCCACCCACCTCTCTGAGTATGGCTTCTCCAATAGCATTTGTAAGAACCTTTCCCCCCTCCCCTTAGGGGCCTTTTAACAGTATTCTTTAAGCAGGTGATGTCATTAAGAAGCTATCTTGAATAGTCCTGCCATTCACCATGGTCATTTAGTTTAATGTGATAATTTTAAAACTTGTTTTATTAGGCACCCAGCTTGAGAAATTAAAAGCTATAAATGTTGAAAAGCTTCAAAAACAACTGCAAGAGGAAAGAGAGAAAAATTTTGAGCTGAAAGAAAAACTCAGACAGAAGCAGAAGTCAGTGAGTTCAAAACTTCAAAGGTATACCTTCATGTGTAAGAGGCCCTGCCAGGGGCGGCCCCATGTCGCCCATCTGAATTTTAAAACGTCTCGTGTCGGTGTTTATAAATGCTTGTTGCTTATTGTCGGCTTTGCCGTCACTGTCGCAATTTGGCCGAGGGAGGTTGTCTCTTGTTGAGATTTCATTTTACGCGCTGTCGCTACTTTTTGGGCCATGTCGCTTGTCGGAATTTTCCCTGGCAGGGCCTCGTGTAATAATTTACATTAATTTTTCATTGGCTATTTCCAATCCAATAATTCAGATCTGATGTTTTTATAATCTAGAGGCCTCACAGTTATGATGATGCTTCATTTTTACTTATATCATAGCTATTGAAGGTGATCCAAATAACAAAGGTTCCTTTTTTTCACTATAGAGTGCTAAAGACTGTGACGTCATAAAAATGAAATTTCTGAAATTATGGGATTTGTTAGGATATTCTGAAAGAACAATATCCAAGAGGCCTACTTGCCAAAAATGAGCATTTCGGGGCAAATTGTCTTTGAGATCGTAGCGTTATGGTTAGAAAACTCCATACAAACCCTTCTAAATTTTTTGGGGTTGACCCAATTATTATTATTATTATCATCATCACCATCATCATCATCATCATCATCCATTATCATCATACTCACCATCAGTATCGTCATTATTATTGTAGGAAAAATGCAAGCCGAGTACATCACAGGCATAGTCATGGGACAGCAATACCCGTCTCAGAAAAATATGGAGATGAGTGGGTAGATCTTGGTAAAGAGGAAGAGTTGCCTCATTCGTCTTCCTTACCACATGATGCAAGTGAAACTACTGTCATGGGAGATCACTCTTATGAGCAGGAGCAAACTGATAATGTGCATGATGGAGTGCAAAGTGATACAGCAGGGCAATCAGAACAACAGACATCCTCCGTCTCAGGTAACAACACAGGCTACCCAGGTATGAACCCAAAGAAAAGTAACTAAGCACAAGCACTTGCTCTGAGTGCTGTCAATAAGCACTGATGTCGCATGAAAAGCTATATTGCTTATGGAAGTTAGCCTTGTATTTTCAGTTTCCCAAGGAGATACAGGTTTCCTGAAAAGGCTGGGGCAGGTATTTCGAAGTAGGTATACAGCGCATCACTGGTAGCCCACGTTGTTACAGACAGGTTAGGCAGGGATTAAAATGTTTAAGCAAGGCCCCCCCTCTCCCAACAGCCTCTTAACTTAGGTACAACTGGTGCTGATTTTTGAAGAAGTAAAGACTAAGGTACAACTGTGCAGTGTATCTTAAACAGAGGGAAAAGATACAGTCAAACGCCATTAACTCTTTAAGCCCCAGTATCCACATACAAATTCTCCAAACTGATATCCATACATTTCCTTTAAGAATTAGTTGAGATAATTTAATAAAACATTAAGGCATTTTCTTTTTCGTGATCATTGTTTATATTCTCACAACCTTATCTCTTGACAATGTATGGACATTGTTAGGAGAAAATTGCTGTTGGTCACTATTGAGACTTAAAGGGTTGATAAAGACACCATGTCTATGGCCCCCTCAGGCTGAGGGGGCCATAGAAAGTGTCCGTATAAAGCTGGTTGAATTTAGAGAAGATGTAAGAGCTAGGGACAAGGGCAACTGTCCGTAATAATGAGCTGCCAGTATCAAGTGGGTGTCCGTAAAGCAGGGTTCCGGTAATTTGACTTTATTTGCAAGTAGGTCCAAGAAGCTACAGACAGGCCAGTTAGGCAGAGGTTTTGCCAGTTGGAAGAGACTGTCATGCTAGCCTGAAATAAAGGCACCTGGCTGTTCTGTCCCAGTCTCCCCTCTCAATAAGTTAAGATGTGACATCTTGTCTTTTGAAGGAAATCAGATTGAAGAACCTCACAGAGTACAAAGGGTTAAAACAAAGCTAGAAATTTGGAAAATGAAAGTGATGGATCTGGTGAGTTGAAAATTTCTCCTTCACTTCTTGTGTTTTTTTTTCTTTCGTTTTCTCATCTGTTTTAATTTGAGAAGTGAACCTTGAGGCTTTTATTTTTAAATTGCTCGTTATGGTGACTTCACCCCCCTCCTCCCAACCCCCAAATAGTTTTCTCGGATGACAGCAAGTGATTATTTTTATTTATTTCTACTGAGATCGTGGATAGGTTGTGGGACTTTGTTAATGATGAACCAGAAGGGAATGACGAAGAAGATGGAGAAGGAGAACCTTTAGCTGTAAAAAGGTAAGTTAAAGAAATGTTCCTTACGCGTGTTACCATCCTCGCAAGTGACGATTTTCACGCGCGCCCGCGTGTGTTACACGCTCTGTGCCTCTTCTCACCCTGAGGAAATTAGAAAAACTACGTCACTGAAAGAGTGTACTTTGCCTGATAATTGAACGGGTATGTTTATTTGAATGTTAAACTAGTTGACCACTATCTTCTGTCTAAATTTCAATTCGTTTCTTTTTTCTTCTTTCCACAGATTGAAAGAGAATATCAACCGATTTAGTAAGTGATTACAGCATTTGTCATATTTAATTCTCCCGTGTTTTCTTTGTTTCGTTTTGTTTTGTTTTGTTTTGTTTTTTTCTCCTTCAAATTTGAACACGCTACCCTTTCAACCGGGTAAGATGTAAATTGAAAAGGTATTTTTCCATAATAAAAAAGAGAACTCAGTTTTTGAAGTGTATCTAACCTTCATTAAGAACTTTTTTCTTTGTTCTTTTAGCCGCAGGTATTAAGCCTATAACTGGTTTCATCAAATCTGTTGGCAGAGTTTTTTCCTGGTCTAATCCCACGGCATCGCTGTTAATATTCGTGGTTAGTGTCCGTGGCTTATTAAAGGAGCTTTGTTATGGGAGGTCCAGTCCATTCTGTTTAATTTTTCCAATTTAATATTGGTACTAGCTCGCTTGAAAATTAATTTAAGTGATCAAATTCAGTCAAGTTGTCGCTTACTGGAGCAATCAATCCAAATCACCATGCTCTCCAACCACAACGTATAGTGGTGTATATTTGTGGTGTATCAAATTGTTGTATTGTTTTTAAAGTTTATAAGACAACTGTTCTACACAAGCGAGTGTTGAAACCAGGCCTTAATTTGCCTTCTCTGTCGGTTTTTTTTTTCTGTGAAACAGTTAATTTTGCTTAAAATGGAAAATACGGATTAGTCAATTTACTGCTATTTACTGTTTCAGGTCTACATGTATTCTGTCTGGAATGGCTATCTTTTATCCTTGATTCTTTTTGTCGTGCTTTGGAAGCTTTTTATGAATTACCTTCACGCTAAGTAAGTCTTTATGATATTAAAATTACACCACGAGTATAGGTTGATAGTTTAAACAAAGTGGTTGTGGTATAGTAAAGTATGCGATGTAGTTTTCACAGAAATACACTGAGAGGAATGTAAGAAAAATTGTAGAATACTGAAAGCTAAGTAACGACACGTTAATATTCACTGACGAAGAGATGTAAAACTAGCCAAATGAGCGGTCGACAGAACGTATAACTTTCAACAAACCTGAAGACGATGATATTTTAAGCTAGTCCTGCGACTTTATTTGCAATTCTTTGACAACTAAAAAAAAATTGTCATTTTTACTTCATCTCAATTATATAGCACTTTGTGTAGTTTGCCTTAATTTTGTCGATCTACTTTAACGAAAAAATTGGCGAACAAAGTGAAGGGCCTATGGAAATCGAAGTCGCCGACTTCTTTAGCTATGATGATCATGGCTAAATATGTTCTAACTGCTGTGCTTTTCTTTCTTCGTGACCAGAGGTATTGCTAAACAGTTGGGATTCGTAGACAAAACAAAGGATGAGGTATGTTTGTAGACTAAAAACGCATCAAAGCCATTGATCATTACGTCGATGAATTGTCTGAAGGCGTTACCCGTCAAACACGGCTGATCCACTTTGTCTTGTCCCCTTCCCTCACCCCCACAGTACTCGCCGGCTCTTTAATCGCTCCCCACCCCTCCATTTTTGTCAACTTTTCTCCAAACAATTCACGATGAAGTAAAGACCACTTTGTGTCCGTATTTCTATCCTCGAGCAAAAACGATCTGTTGTGTAAATTTGCCTTTTCCGTCAGGGCAACTCTTCAGAAGATCACAGCTGGTCCGACAAATTTCAGCTTGTTCTGCAGGTTGCAAGAAAAGTTCAGGTGGGGATTCCTCCATTTTATTATCATCATCATCATCATCATCATCATTGTCATCGTCATCGTCATCATCGTCATCATCATCGTCATCGTCATCATCATCATCATCATTGTCATCGTCATCATCGTCATCGTCATCATCGTCATCATCGTCATCGTCATCGTCATCATTGTCATCGTCATCATCGTCATCGTCATCATCGTCATCATCATCATCATTATCATCATCATCGTCATCATCATCATCGTCATCGTCATCGTCATCGTTATCGCCATCGTCATCATTATCATTTTGCTTATTCTCTTTGTTTACTACTTTTCTTTTACTTTTCTTCGTTTACTTTTTTCATTATTTTGAATATTAAATACGCCTATATATGCACGCTACAAGAAACATCGCCACTGAGTAGATACAGGTGCCAAACCGTGGTATGGACAGCCGCGCATTTTGCTGGATTTGGCTTACGCATGTAATTTTTTTTCTTAGAACACCCTTGGAAAAATGGCAGATTCTCTCGAAAAACTGAAGAAGTAAGAAGACGTTCGTTGAGTTTTGTTTGTTGTTTTGTTTCTGAGTATAACATTTGCTAAATTAAATACTTATCTTTACTACCAAACGAAGTCCTGTCCAACTGTTGAACTGTCTGCCTGTCACTTTTCAACATTTCTCAATCATGTCGTTATTAACTGAAGCTCCGCTTTTTGGTTTACCTTAATGCCTGTATTATCTATCCTGATTGTTTCAGTTTACTAATGTGGCAACACCATGAAGCCACAAGAAAGCTTTTCACTGCACTTTGTGTTGGTCTGTTGGCGTCGCTGCTATTAAAGGGACCAACTCTATTTTTGCTACTAGGTAATGCATCAATCTCATCATGATTTTAAACTAATTACTGTAGGTCATTTAGCTAACACAGTCAAATCAGTTTTATTTCACTCTGTGACTACGTAATACGACCACCCTGCTAATTGCTAATATGGCCTCGGTATTTCGAGCACCTCCTAATTTATGTGGGTCAAAATTGAGAAGGCGGCCATTTTATATCGCGCAAATTTACCTCGATTTCACGTAAGCTGAGGGGAGAAATTGAAAAGAACTAAAGCAAGTGTGGTCGATGTTTTGCAGTTCTTCTCAGTTAGATTTTTTTTCTTCTTATGTGACAGGGCTTTTTGGAGGCATAAAGTTCTTTATTATTAATCCGATTCAGAATCGCTTTCCAAAGGTAACCTGGTTTTATTCTTTTCTTTAATTTCTCGGCAACAAATAATTAGTCATGACGAATAAGTGTATAAAAGAACCTTAATTTACTGGGAAAAATAGTGGGAGTTCACAAATCATGAATTTGTCAGATCATGCGTTCGTTTTTTCTCAACTTTGCGAGGGGTCTGGTAAGTAGTAGTCTGCTGCGCAGCCGTTGTTGCGTTGTCACGCAACGCTGAATCGTTGTTTGCGCATGACACGTAATTGTTTGTTGGGTCGAATTGCATTATGTGAATGTTTTTATTATTAGTGGCTGTTACGAGGTAGCGCAGGGTACTGGGTTAAAACTCATCCCCCAAAACAGTCCCATAGTGCAGTTCGAGTTAACACGGACCAAGACTCACGTGCAATACCTCGTTCGTCAAATAGATTAGAAGTAACGATATTACAAGGAGTTTGAAATATCGTTCATTTTGAGAAGGATCCTCTTTTATGCATTTACTGTAAATAAGGTGAAAAGTGCTCATGGCTTTATCGGAGTTAAAACGCAAGGGCTTGTTATATTGAGCTTTCACCGTAGTACTCCGTTCCGCGTCATATTTTCAATTGTCAAGCTCTGTGTAGATAAACCTCCAGTTTTCAGTTCATTGACACTTCTCTTGTAAATAATTTTGCTTGTGCTATTTTTGAAAAAGGTCAAGAGGCGGTATGATAGAACATCTAAATTGTGGAGAGAACTTCCAACGGACGCTGAACTCGCTGCGAGGCCGATTGAACTACTGTGCAATGAAGAGGTATACTTACTGACGACATTGTTTCCAAGTCGTGTTGAGATTTATTTTGTGTTCATGTAAAGCGGAAGGTCATTTTTCAGTATTACCTCGGGCACCCTGGAATAAAAGCACATCTCCTTCTCTCTAACTGTTTAAAAACTCCATTGCAGGGTTTGTGTCTAGAAATGTCTTGTTAGAAGCACCACCAAAATATGGGTAGTTACACGTCATCAGTACGAAGATTTTGCGCTCGTTTCCAAGGAGTCATTTCCCGGAAGAATAAGTGGTGACGTCATGAAATGTCGGCTGCTTTGTCAGGCTACATGATAGTCAGTGTTTAAATTAATCATGTGAAAGTCTTGGTTTGACAGTGGATTTGTATTCGAGCCAAGAAAGGAGAACGAAACATTTGAGCGAAGCGAGTGAAAAAGACTTTGACAGGCGAAAATTACAGATGCATTATACCCACATCACTTTTGTCATTTTTGTTTTTTTCATTAGGCGCTTTCACACACATCTTCTTCTAGTTCCTCGTCGTCGCCTAGCAACAGCCATTCATCTGAAACATCAGGCTCTTCATCAAACCCCTTCGCAGAGAGATTTAGATTACCATCAAGTGAAACTCCTTTACCAGGTAAAAAGCAGAATTAATGCGTATGTCATACATGAAGTTCTGTCAAGCAGTAGGAAGCTTAAGCAAAGGCATTTTTGAGCGACGGGCGTCAACCGGAAGTACGGCCTTTTCCCTTTTTGATATGCCTTGACCAACAATGCGAAATGTCCACTTCCGGTTGGCGTGCGTCGCTCAAAAACGTCTGTCCTTAAACTCCCTAGTGTCGAAAAATTAACGTCATTTTCGTCCTCTTTAAGGCTGGGAAGATGGCAAAAGATGCGTGCTATTAGATAAAGACAAATCTTTTTCCCACGTTAAACACGGCAGATTGTTTCTAACTCATAGGTAAGATTTTGTTGAGATTGGGATTTGTTTCTCTCTCCCTTTTTTTTTGGCTTTCATTAAATTTCCTGCCTCGTATGCTAGACTGTGAAGACTGTGAACTCTCCAGAATAACCTTTGAGGTCTTAGTTGAACGTCCCAAATTCATAATTTATTTACTTTTCACTACCCACAGCTATTTATGTTTTGAGAAGTCCAGATCGTTGAGCGGAAAACATATTGTCATTAAACTTGATGCAGTCACAAGTCTCTTTAAGGTAAAGTTTGGGTGCCATGGTTATGAAGATCATTTTCTTCTTTGTTTTCTTCCTGTTGCTTTGCTTTGAAGGGGGATTATCAAGAGCTTCAAATCGAATCATAATTTTCTTATAATGGTTTTAACAAAGCCATTTGAATGTCAGTACTGCTTCCCAAGTTTCATTTTAATGGCCATACTATCAAGATTTCGTTCACAGACTTAAGAATAAGAACCACCTTTTACAGCATCATAAATAGTACCATGAGAAAGTTCTGCTAAAGAGGTCTTATTTGAATGGTCATGCCATAGGATTTCGTTCACGGATTCAAGGTAGAACTAGTATATAAAGGTAATACCAAGTGAAAGTACTGCTGAAGAGGCTTCATTTCAATGGTCACACCACATGCAGGATTTGGTTTAGAGATGTAAAGTGAAAAGCGCATTACGTTATTTCGTAATTGACTGTAACAGCGTAAATGAACACCAAAGTGGTGTGGGGGTATAAGATTAGACATCATTCAATTCGCAGTAGGCTTATTACACATTTACTTTGTTTCTACAGGCCAAGCCGATAGGAATAATGCCCGGGACGGGAATGGCGATAGAAGTTCAACTGCGAGGAATAGACAAGGTATAGAAAACTTGACGCTTTGTCTCTCTTCCAGAGTTAATCAGAATATATGAGAAATGTCATAGTTTGCCGCATACCGAAAAGTGTTTAATAAAAGTAGATATTCATTTGTCATTAAGCCATGAAGTAGTTTGTATAAGTTTGGAGAATGCAGTTACTAATCTGGCTGTTGTGACCTTTTTCTAGCCCTACATATTTGGAGCAATCATTGGCAGGGATGACGTATTTGACAATATCAAAGCCACAGCAAGAGCAGCTAATATCCCATGGGCTCTAGACTGATAACGTGTTGTGTGCAGTAGCCTGTGTAGCAAGCGTTTCCATGATATACAATTCACGCATCTGATGATAGTAATCTTTCAGTGTAGCCTAGCGTTTAAATTATTCAATGTCTTTGTTCGATCACTATCGCCGAGATGTTAGCATGGGTAGTTTTGTTTTTAGCCAGTATTTGACCTCAGGATGGTGTGGGCGTACATGCATTGTCGGTTTTGTGGAAAAGAACTGACTACCCTGCGAGATTTGTAAATTTTGTGCATCTCAAAAGTATGTAAATAACGTTAAACGAGTGTTAGATACTTTGGACTGCAAAACCGGCCGGCCTTCGTTGGTAATGACTATGTAAAAGATTTTGTGGATGAATGAATAACACGTTATTGTGTAGATATATAAATATAGAGTGTGTAAAGAAGTAGTACACTGATATATTGATATATTGAAAAATATGCGACTGGCTACGTACAGAAATCGTTTCCTTACATGGGATATCTTAGCCTAGTCCCTCCGCGTACTCGACTCGGTCAAACCAAGGTCAAACCTGGACTCTATCGTGAGCTGTGACGTCACCCGAGAGAGACTCGCCCACCCTTTCCCAGACTTTGCACGGACAGTGGGTCAAGAGAGAGCGCCTAGAGACTAGGTTGAGGATATCTGACACAAGGCTGATCTCTTTGAGGTTGGTGTTTTGACGAATTGCACCATGGGGGTGTTTAATGGGAGCTATCGCTTTTCTGGGTTGCCTGTGGTACATGAAATCGCCAGAAAGACTGTATGACAAAAGGCCACTTCCGAGTTCCAGGAACCCTCACTTTCAAACTGAGGCCAAGTGCACGGCGTTTTATGTGAAAATGAGTTTTGTTTGATTGAGAATGAAAAATCATTTCCATATTAAAGGCCGAGTACTTAACCTCGTTTGGATACAGAGGCCCGGAGAACTCAGAAATGGCCTGGTATAGATCGACAAATGAGGATCGAGTTGACTATATTATATTCGACTGAAAAGTAGTGAAAATACATGAAATAGTTCCAGATAATTATAAAAAGTCCCTTTTTCTTTTTTTTCTCTTTTGATGAATGAAATGAGTGCACAGGCTCGTCAAAATTTTATCAAGATTGTTTTAGTCTGAGACTGCTAATTTGCCTGAAGAAGGCATGAAGCCCTTTATAAATTCAAACTAAGCAGCGTGAATCCTCTCTGACCGGTTAACTGCACATCTAAAAGGCGTCAAGCAAGGTTCAAAAACAACAGGTTTGTCACCGGTAAACAATGAAGTACCAGTCGATCGCAAACTAACACTGATTTCGGAGTCAACTTAAAGAAAACAGATCGCAGAATTTGCTGGTATGAATTGTTAATGCGAAAGTCCATAAGTTTCTGATTTTGTTAAGCTGAATATTCGTTTGAGATCTATACGTTTCTGTTGGATTTGAAGTTGGAATTAAGCGATCTATAATTCATCTTGGAGATCTGCCAAGGAAAGGTAAGAAAAAAATAACGATTCGCCTGCGAAGATCATCATCCCGTCAGTAAAATGAACAAAGGCCAATAATTTTAATCTGAGTAAAAGTTTAAAACGCACCACATTTTCCCTTAGACGTGCTCTATTCCCTATTTGTTCAATTCATGCAAACTATTTTATTCTACTGTTAAAAAGTGGTCGAGGGGCATTTTATTTCCTCATGAGTAGATCAGGTTCTCTTTTGTTATTTATGATAAACCGTAATGACACCATGTGATTCGGTGCTGTCGCAAGCTGAGTAGTTCTCTTGAAAAGTAAAAATAGCTAGAGCCGTTTCTCGCTGATCCAGAAAGGATATCGGTCTGAAAAGACTAGACGCTTATGTACACCATAACTCCGCTTATAACAGGCCAGTGTATGGGTCACTGATTCATGATCAGGTCCATAGAGTAAGAGGTTAGTTCTTAGGTTTGTGAATGTTGATATCGATCCCAGCGTGAGTGCATGGACATTTGCATTAAAAAGCTTAATAGCTGCTGTGAGTTATGATAATTTTGTAGAAAAAAATGGAGAAACAATCCTAGAGAAAACGGATTCTCATGAAATTAGTTACTTTATTTTGCATATAGATTTTCAGTTGTCGTTTTACTGAGGTTACTGGGCCGCGACATCGTGTGGAGCCGTTAATCTTGTATTTTTTGCAAGCAAGATCTCAAAAGCTGCAATTATAAAACAAATCTCTTGGGAAGGAACAGGACCGAACCGAAGAGGTCGAGCGGGCGGAAATTGTGCCTAGCTGTTGGTGTACGAGGGTATTTGGGAGGTGGGGCGGCGGTATTCCGGAATTAAGCACTAAGAATCCGGAATCCCACTAACGATTGGAATCCGGAATCCAATTTCCACTTACAAGCAATCAAGGATCCAGTACTGGAATGCGGAATCTACACTGTGGAATCCAGAATCCAAGACTGTCTCGGGTTCCCTTACAAGGGGCGATTAGTTGACTTTGGAAATGGGTGAGAATATTTAGAAAACAAAAAATGGGAAAATCGGATGGTGTCTTTGGCTGAGTATGTGATTCCCGGCTATGATCTTTCAATGGGAATTTAAGTGATTTGTTTCGGGAAAAAATGCACGAACTTGGGCTACATCTGATTTAAGGCAGCGACTATCGCTTGCTCGAGTTTTACATGGTCTCTACACTGTAGTTAAAAGTTAATGATATTTTTGCAAAAATATAGACTTTCACCTGCAGAGAAGAATATACGATATGTTAAGGTGTATACCTTAACAGTAAACATTAAACCATCCGTGTGCTGGGACCAATGTCTTTCATTATATTGTATCAAGCATTAAATAATCGCTTTAAACACTTGTTTAGGTAATGCAGCGAGACGAAAACATAAACTTACGTCATACGACGTGAATAATAAAGTTTATTCGGGCGGTTGATTAAAGCTGGAAGACGAGGTGAACACTACTTCTAAACGTCGTTAAAAAAAATTTCAAAGGCCAGGGTGGGAGTTCGCTGTTCCAGGTAGGCGCGCAATATATACGAAACACTACGACAATTCTCATCTTTTAGGCATGTTAATTTTTACAGAGATAGCGGATAGCACACTCGTGTGATCAACAAGTTAATTATACTCTTTCCAATGAAGACTATTTTAGCTTGAGGGTTTAAAAGCCAATGTAGATCATCGACAAGATTTCCTGTTTCGTGTTGGACAGCTTTTTTCCCTTCTGCACCGTTGAAGAATACTTTTTGTACTCTCATACTAGATTATCTAGCGTATACTGAAGACTTTCAGGATTTCCGTGTATAGGAAATATTTAATTTTGTAAAAATAATAACTTTTTGTTATTTCATTTTTAATCTTGACCATTTTAGACCAGCGACTGAACTCGATTAAACCCAAGGAGACTCATCTCTAAGGAATTTTTTTTCCTCTGGTAAACGAACCGACTTTGCAAGTCAAGAGTTGACTACAACCACAACCCAACAGGTGTAACAAACAGGTCTTTTAAAATGAGATCAGCTTTAAGCAGACAAGAGGCTCTAACTGTAACAATCAATTGATAAATTAAAGTCGTCTTCACTATTAGTAAAAACTATGCCCACACAATATTTACCGGGTAACTACCCGGTATAGTTTGAACACCTATTCCATAGGTGACCCTCCACTCGGCGCGGCGAAGCTTCGCTCCTTTACAGCCATCGCGTCTTAATTATTATCACCGTTCTTATGCTTCCTCGTACCCAGACGTCTCTCTCACGATGAAAATGTGCGCGCAAACTGTACCTTTCCCATGGTCCCTTGCGGTTCATCATCAGTCGTTCGCCTCAACCTTGCGAAAAACGAAGCGCCTGAGGAGAAGGCTGGTTCTTATGTTTAAATTTAAAAAAAGACGTCCTATCCGATATAGTTCTTGTGCCGGGGAAAAATCTATCCGGTATATAGTATGAACATAAGAGCCTAAGTTTAGCCATAATTTCTGAGCGGGTTTAGTTCCTTTTAGGCAGGGAAGTAAATTTCAATATTGAGGTGAAAGAGATTGCGGAGGCTAAGACGCGACATGCTTCTAAATTCTCCTTGATGTCCTTAATTAACCCATCAGTGTTTTTTTTTTTTTTTTTTCACACAAATAGCGGGTCTTTAAAAAACGCGATATACTTCTGAATTTACTATAATGACCTGCAGCCTCTCAGTCTGACGTCTATAAAGGAATAACAGAAAAAATAACGACGTCACACAATAACGATAACCGATTTTCCAGGGTCCGTTGTAGGCTTTCCAAAAGTCCTTCGTCGGATTTCATATGGCTCGCGGTGGGATGCTTCGCGGCCAAACAAGGCTCGCTCCGCTCGCCAAGAGGTCGATTTGCAGCAAGTCTAGGTCCGTTGTGACCCTGCATAGTATTACAGCACTTTTATAATACAGCACATACACTGAATGGAGTATCCTTTTTCTGTTTTAAAGCACTAGAAATATCTTGAATGGATAATAACTGTTGAATTCGGCTTTCTTACGATTCATATGAACAATTGGATCTCCTAGGAGTTGTTCATAGCGCCTTCTCGATCTGCATAAATCTTCATATGTTAGTCAGCCGCATCCAACCTCTTTCCCAGGGCTCACTCCTACTCGTCCTTGGGAACGAGGCTGGGCCTCAACCAGTGGGTGACCTGGTAGCCCTCGGAAGACCACCCGGGATTGGTTGGGAAAACAATGAACAAACAAAGTCAATAATGAAACCGAGCCCCAAAACAAAAAAGTTGCGACTCGTCGGGGTCCAATTGAATTAGAGGTTCTGAAGAGCTGCTAGGCTATCGGGGGAACATTCAACTCTTAACAAAAATGGCCGAAGTATTACCACTTGATATAGTCTGCCATATCTTTTTAGTCAACCGTAAAAATTTGCTTCAACAATGGAATGATAAAGATTTCACTTTTGCAGGCATGGTCGTCCTCCATCATCCGCTTTCTCTTCTTTTGGTTGGATTTATTTGCTTTATTCCGTGCACTTTTGGAGAAAAAGTGGAGGCTGATAATGGTAAACAGGTTTTGTTCGTTCAGATTTCGAGGATCGTTTGGGTGGAAAAGTGTTAATTATGATTGGTGGATGGTATACATGGCAACCATTAGCCAATCATAAGTAGCCCTTTTCAACTGAAAGGAACCCAGAAATCCTTGCGCCGAAAGCTAGTACCCATTCAGCTTATAGTTTCTGAAATGGAGAATTGTTACCAATCGCCACTATAGTGAAGGGCCTTCCCTGGGGAGACATACACAGAGTGAAAAGTTATCGACTGTGAAAAACAAGGTTTGACATGCTGCTTGTTGACTTTCTACAATTAGTGGGAAGTTAATTGACCTCCTGGTTTGCTCGATGGTTCTCTATGGTGCCTGGGTACCGGCAGAAAATTGTGTCGTGTTCACACCTTGAGAACCCGTCTACATCCTCCGTTTCGCCCTGTTAAACGCCACTTTGAAACTTGAGCTTAGCAGCGAGTACAAAGCAGTGGATTACCCCAGAACTAACAAAACTGTGTGCACACAGGAACCCGGCGCCCACTTTTGTGCCCGAGGACAAGATCTTCGGGCACCGGCACCTTACCCGAGTTCTAGCGCGGGCACTTGAAAAAAGGGTGTGTTCACATTAGTGCCCAGCGAGTGCCGTACTCTCGCACCTTACCGGGGCACCAAATGTGAACGCTGCCTTTTTTAGCTGTTTCTATGTTAATTAATAGGTTGCTTTGAACCACTTGGAATACAGAGTGGAGAGTTTGAAGACGGCCTGATAACAGCATCAAATGTGCAAAAAAATTTTACAGCAACTGACCCTTGGTGTCCTCCAAAAACCGACGAAAATCAGTATTTACAGGTTGATTTATCCAGAAAGACCGAACTGACAAAACTTGCTACGCAAGGATATAGTGGAGACAAAGAGAAATTTGTGAAGACGTTCGCATTATTGTACAGCGATGATGGAGAGAAATGGGAACAGTATGGAAGCAAAGGGAAGGAAAAGGTATGGCATGTTTTACAAGAGATTATTTATTATTTTGGGACTAATTATTCTCCCTTGATGTCTTAAAAATGTGTAGAGTAACGTTACGAATGAAGAAAATGGTATATCCCCATTATCACGATTGCGGATCAATTAAGGAACAGATCTGAGCAATCGACAAGTTGTTCGAGCCTTTTTCCTCATTACGGAAACCAATCGGATGTTAAACTTGGATGAAACAGGCCTTAAGAGACTTAAGCCGAGCAGGGTCCTGGGTACGAATATTTTAAAATCCACTTCTCTCGCGACGTGATGGTCCACAATGGCTTCTTATTTCACTGCCAGCCTCAAAATTGTCATATTCCTATCTGTCGACATTCATTCTGTCTTTGCAGATCTTTCAGGCCAATAATAATTCATTTGCGGTTCACCATAACATATTTGAGAAGCCACTCGTGACACGCTACATTCGTGTAAATCCCAGGACTTGGGAAAACGCCATTTGTTTGAGACTCGAAGTATTTGGATGCGATGGTAAGTCAATTAAAATAATATAAAAAGTTTGTTTTCAAGCAAGTGGATTGCGGACTCTTCGTTCATTAGCCTGTCCATAAAGTAAAAGATCACACCTCGTAGACATAAAAGTATTTGAAGGTAACTCATTTATCAGGAATTCATCATCCCCCCGCCTTGGCACAAGATCGGTTTTGGGTGGTGGGGAATAGTGGTTGGTTGCTAGCCGGCCGTCTAGGGTTACTACCTGAGTGTGCATCGCTACTTCACCAAAGTTGAGAGGGTAGACAAATATCCTACTTAAGTTTTCTCAAAAACTTGTTCCTAATCCTCCCAGTTGTTTTTCCAATAGATATTTAGAGAGATTCATATGTTAAATTCAATTAATGTTTTCTAACTGGGCATACATTGTTAAGACATGTACCTCAACTTTTCTTTGCAGTCTAGCTTATATTTTACCCCGTCACAGAGGGACATTGTATATATTGAAGGATACAGGAACATAGCAAGAAGAAGTTAAGAAGAGTATGGGCCGAGCGCTTATATTATAAACTTCGTTGAAGGGTTTTTTTGTATACTCGTTCCCCGAGGGACGAGTAGCAGTCAGAATTCTGGGAACGAGGTTGTTCTATTTTACGGTCGACTCAAAACTGGCCAGCGACAAACTATGAGATTTAGAATATAAGAACGCAAGCACGGATCAAGGA